GCCCTGAATTGGATCAATCTGGGAAGATTCATGTGCCTTTCTGGATGCATCCTGGCTCTGTGGGCAGAGGAGGACTGAAAGGTGCCCAGGAGTCACCTTGTAGCAGGATGAAGCAGAGACATATGGACTTACTTGAGGGGCCATGTACCTTGTGAGGGTCCTGCCTCTGGACCAGTGTCTTCTACTTGAGGCAGAGGCTGGCAGGAACTCGTCTCACCTCTGTGTCCTCTGCTGAGGAAGTGCCCTGTTTGGGCAGTAGTCTTCTGGAAGTTGTGGGGGTGGTGCCCCCAAGTGTTTCAACAGCTTTGAACCCCTTCTGGGTGCCCAAGCACCCCCTGGGTTCAGTTCTGCAGTGACACAGGGGATGGGACTTGATGCTGGGGAGCAAGGGAGGACTCTCCATCACAGAGCAGCAGCAGCTCTTCCTCCGTTGGGGCCAGGGGCTATTCTTGGATCCTGCCCTGCAGTTCCTGGACTTATCTATGCCCATGTGCTTCCTGCCTCAAGCCCTGGGCAGGAGTTGGTACATGGGCTTGCTTGTGGTCAACCCATCTTCCCCCGCTCTGGGTGTGCAGGATGTTGGTCCTTGGGTGCCCTTCATGCAAAAAGCTTGCTTTTTTTTTTTTTTTGGTTGGTTTTTTTTTTTTTTTTTTGAGAGGGGAAAAGCCTGAAGACCCTGCTTCCTTCAAGTGGGGCAGGGAGGGGAGGATTCCCTGTAGCTGGAACAGCTCGTGATCTGATGCTGCTCGAGGATGTTGGAGCTCTGCTGGCGCTGCAGTTGTGACCGAGGCATGGAGGGGTGAAGGACCCTGTTAGCAAATCTCCCTGTGCTCTATAGCATGGAGGCTGCCGAGCTGTCCCTAGCACAAATGCAGCCATCTCTCCCAACCCCCCAATTTTCTGTTTCTTGTGAGTTTGAGGAGCAAACCCACCTGGTGCACTGGCAGGAACCCTGCACTCCCACGTCCTGTCCTGTGGCAGCGAGATGAGGGTGCTGTCCTGTGTTTTTGGGGGTTTTGTGGGGTACGTATGTCTTTTTTTCGTTTTCCCCTCCGAGCGTTTCCCTCCCTGCAGCCCTGTTTTGCAAGCTCGCCTTATAAGTCCTGGCTCCCGGAGCAGCGGCAGCGTTTCTGCATTTCCACAGCCTCGCCGCATTTTGCTTGCGTCGCGGTGGCCAGGGCTCTGCGTCTCCAGTGGCGGTCCCCAGTGCTGGAGGAGCACCCCGCTGGGATGTTCTGGGGGAAGAGCTGTAGCTTGAGCTGCTGGGATCTCGAGGTGGCTTGCGCAGAGCTGGTGGGATGCTGTGGAAGAGCTTGTCCTTCACCAGGGTGGCTGCCTTTTGTTGCTGGCTCAGTGGATGTGTTGGTGTGAATGCTTTCGGAGATGGAGGGGAGGGGGAAATGGGATGTAACTGGGGGTGGCTTCCTGGGGGAATGACCAGGTACTAGAGCATGTCCCTGCTGTAGATGTCCTCCTAAATGCTGGTGGTAAAGGCTTGTGCTGAGACAAGTCCTGTGGCCTCAGAACCGGGCCAATTTTGGTGGGGGGTTGGAGCTGGGCAGCAACAAGGCTGTGGGTATTGCAGTTCTGATTTTGTAGAAGAGGAGGGTCAGCCTTGCTGGCTTCTGGGAGGGTTCAGAGCCTGGCACAGGAGACCTACCTGAGCAGCCTCGCTGCAGGTGGGTACTTGTACCTTTGCATCTAATGTTCCTGATGTAACTCTACCCTTCCGGGGCTGCAGAGCAGTGTCTGGCTCTGTGTGGGGCTCCCTTTGAAGAGTTCTTGCTTAAAAGGACATGACTGGGAGCTGTGGGTGTTGTAAGACCCACACAGAAGCTGTGGTAGGAAGAGGCAGGTGTTGCTTCTTGGCTTCCTCAAAGCCTTGGTGCCAAGTACCTGGCCGTGCTTGTGCTTCTGGGAGATGTGGCTGCTTTAGAGGCACTGAGGACTTGAGCACAGGATGAGTTTGTCCTTGTCCCTCCCTCCCACATGGGGAAGCTATGCTGGGATCCTCCCTGTCCAAGAGATGGCCTAGATGGTCTTGTCCCTCCTGGCACGAATCCTGTTTTCCATGGCTCTCCTCCATCTCTGCCGGGTGTTTGGACTGGGGACATCCCCAGAGGGGGCAGAGACAGGGAAGGGGAAGCGTTTTTGTGCAGGACCTCCAGCAGCGTGACAGCACTGGGATGTCCTAGGCAAGAGCTGCTCCCTGTCCTGCTTCTCTGTGTGTGTGTCCTGTTAATGTTGGATGTCCTGGGCTAGACAGGGCTGTCCTTGCCTTGTATCTCCTCCTGAGTGGCTGGTAGCAGAGTCTAAGAGCAAGGCATTTCTAGAGATCTTCTGCTGCATCTTCTCCAATCTCCTGTTGAACATAGTTTGGCCCAGGCAGTTCCTGATCTAGCCCTGGATGGATATATAACTTATTTCTTTTTTTTCTTTTTTTTTTCTTTTTTTTTATCTTGCTGCTCTGTGGGGATACTGAATCTCCTACATGGACTGGGTCTTTGGCAGGGAGTTGAAGCAAGGCTTAAATATATTTTTAAGCAGAAGCCTACCCTGTCTTGGCATGGTGAGTGCAAGGGCTGGAAGCCTGGATTCATCAGCCCTGTGTGGTCCCGGTGGTGTCTTCAAGCCTGCAGGGATTGTTCTGCCAAGGGGTGACTGGAGGGACCCCATTGCCATCATCTACAGTTTCGTTTTTTTTCTGGTCAGCCTTGACCTCCCTCCCCTGAATAAATTGGTCTCCCTTTCCCCTGTTTTCTGCATCTCTGATGAATGTGCTGAATTGTAGAGATCTTGGAAAGCCAACTGCTTGGTCTTGTTGATTCTAATGAGCTCTTTAAGCAGAGACCTTCCTTAGCCTGTCCCAAGACCCTTTTCGGGGGAAAACCTTGTTTGAAGATAGTAGCCAGCAAGATCTGGGATTGCCTGGGCTTTCTTTGTGGTGATGCCAGCCCATGACTGGTGCTGTGGGTTGACTGGGATCCCCTTCCTAATATCTGGAGGCTGGACCTGGAAGCCAAGGGAAGCTTATAGGAGAAGGTCTCTTGCTCTCATACTTGGCAGCAACTTTTGGGGTTGGCATTAGGAGCTCCTTATGTCTGGCAAAGAGCTTTCCTAGGCTCTGGTGTTGCTCTTTTCAGGCTGTTGTAAGGGCTCTGAGTAGCTACATACTCCTTCCCTGAGCAACCACGCATCTTCCATTCTGTCACGCTTGTCGCAAGGACTTACTGAGAGACACATCATGGGACCATTTAGAGACCCAACAGAGATGCGGGTTTCTATCTGCTTGGAAGAAACATCCATTCTGGGAGCTGAGCACACTCGGATCCTGAAATATTGAAAAGGGACGGTGCTTTCACGTGGCTGAGACACGTGGGTGCCACCACGCTCTGTGTGGTCCTCCCCTGCAAGAGATGGCCGTGCATCTTCTGGGAACGTGCCGCAGGCAGTTCACATAGCTCATGATGGAGAGCAAGTGCCAAAGTCTTAGAGGCAGCCAGCGAGCTGAGAGGCTGTGCTATTGCCTGCTCTGGGCTTGAGGTGGCCCTGAAGTTGAGGCAGTGTAGCTTCAAATGAGAGGCTGGGCTGGGTGGGAGGCCTGTAGGACTAAGCCTGGGTGTGAAAGGTGTCTCTGGACCCCAGGACTTCCATGATCACTGTCCATCCTGGAAGTTTTAAGCTGCCCCTGTGCTGATGTGAGGGGTATCTCTCTGCCCTGGTAGGACCATCTTGGACACAGAAGCTCAAGGAGGTGTGTGTTTTCTCCTGGAAATAGGAGAAACCTCTGTGCCTGGAGAGGTCTGAATCTGGCTGCCCCCAAAGCATCTTGTGTGTTTTCAGGTGGCCACTGTATCCAGCTCAGGAGCTGCTCGCCTTGGTGGCAAAAGAGGTTTAATGAGGTGTTGGATACAACCTAGCTGAGCAAAAACTAAAACAGGGGAGCAGAGCAAATGTAACGAGGTCTTTCCAGGCTGGAAATGGGACAGGAGTTGGGCTTCAGTTCAGGGGTTCTGGTCCTGCCATACGTTCTGCAGCTCAAAGGAGTCTGGTGCTGTTTGGTGCCATTCTGAGCATTTGTGTGTCAGTGCTGTCCCGTGACTTTCTTGTGGCTTGTTTGGCAACTGGCTCAGTGGGGGTCATCCCCATGAGGTGAAAAGTGAAGAACACAGAGCTCCATCTCATTCCCGTAGTCTTCTATCTTCCTTTGTATATCTGTTGGTGCTGCCTGAGCTGTGCTTGAGGTCTCCTGGTCCTTGTTAATGATGACTAGTGCCTTGGTGACCTCTCTTGTGCTTAGTTTCCCTTTCCAGCTCTGTGCTAATTTACCAGAAGTCTTGGCAGATTCATCATGCTGCTTTCCATGGAAACAGGCTGCTGGCCAATGTTTCCCAGTGCAGGGAGAAAGTGGCCATGACTGTCTGACATCTGATGTGGACTTGGTGCAGCACAGCTGGGCACAGTAGAACAAGCACTGTAAGAGCTGGTTTGGGAATGACTTCTGAAGGGGCTGATGCATGTTGGTGAAGGAGCTGGGATGGACCCAAGAATCATCCTCCCAGTGATTTTTCTAGGGCTTTTTGGAGAAGTTGAGAGATGAGAGTATAGCAACTGTGCTCTTCAAAATTGAGGGCTGTCTTTGAACTGCTGGCTGAAGTTAAGTGCCAGGATAGGCTAAGGAAAGGAGGTCTAGAAAGAGCTAGAGAGACAACTGGGGTTTGTACTGGTCTCTTCTAAACCTTTGATGTGTGTCAAACTCTGTGATAGTGCTTTTGGCACTTCTAACAGCGGTCTTCTAGTAGTTGTTTCAAGTTTTAGTCATCAAGATCCACTCAGACTGATGATTAAGGTCTTAAACCCTTTTGTGGCAAGGAGGAAAGAACTTGGGTGTATTTTACCCTGGATGATGCTACTCTAACCCCTCCCTACATTAGTGGTCATGCTCCTGCCTTGGCGCTAAGCGTCTCCTTTCAGTAGGCTTTGTTGACCTCTCTTCGTAGGTACGGACACTGTTTGTCAGTGGCCTTCCTGTGGATATCAAGCCCAGAGAGCTCTACCTACTCTTCCGACCATTCAAGGTAAGAAGGCCTTCAAATATGGTCTTTAGTGAGAAAGGTGCTGTCTTGTGGCCAACCTTGTGGCAAAGATCTCTGTTGGAGGGGGAAGCAAGGATGAGGTGGGAAGGCAGGGCTTCTCTGAAAGCTTGGGCAAACCTGATATGAAGCCGGCGTGGCATTCCATGACTTGTGCTCTCCAGCTTGATTAAGAGCTAGAAAATGGGATTTCTTCTAAAAGGGCCGGGATGGTCTAGCTAAAATATGTGCTTTGCCCTTAGTCTAATCTCAGTCTTCTTTTTTGGTGCGAGAGAGAAATGTTAACGTACTTATGAAGGGTTTGGTGCTACAGGAACTCGTTGTGGCTTGGGCTCCTGCAGGAACTTGACACTGAGTTGCTTTCTCCCCTTCTGCAGGGTTATGAAGGCTCACTGATCAAGCTAACCTCAAAGCAGGTACCTCCTCCTTCCACCTAGGGTATTTTTGGCTTTTGCTAGGAACCAGGCATGCTGGGAGGGGAAGGGGCCACCTTCTTACTGTGTAAAGTACTGTCTGTGTCCAGCTGGGTTCTGCCCACCTGCACTGTCCTGGTGGTCCTGAACTCGTCACGTGCTGAATGGCTCTGTATCTTCTGCTGCTGCCCGAGGCTGGATGAGACCTGATGCTTCAGCCTCCAACCCTGTGCAACCAGAAACAAGCCCAATTAAGGTGGTAGTTCTCCCTGTGGGCAAGGGGAGGCTGAGCAGGACCCCAATGTTCTGGTGTGGTGGGAGCAGATGCAGAGTGAGAATCTTGTGCTGTTGACCCAAGACCTTTCCAGCTCTGCTTGAAGGCCCTCCACAGCTTTAGATGGTCACTACTGCTTATTGTAAGCTGTCTGGGACAGAGGAGGGGGGCTGATGGGGTAGTCTGAGGAGCTAGAAGAGGCTTCCAGACTGAAATCGGCATTATTTCTTTTAGCCAGTTGGGTTTGTGACCTTTGACAGCCGGGCTGGTGCTGAAGCAGCAAAGAACGCCTTGAATGTGAGTACCTGATGGGCTGGGGGGCCATACAACTTGCTGTAGCTAGACCTGGAGTGATAGTTGACTTGTCCATAGTGTAGGAAGAGTCAGAGTGCCTCAGCTGTGCCCATATGTGCTTCCATTCTCCAAGTATGGAAGCAAAATGGTCCTGCAGCATCCCATCAGGGAAGCAGGAGAACTATTGAAGGCTAATGTCAGCCTGAGCAGGTGGATGGAGATTGTCCCACGGTTAGCATAGATGTAGTTCTTTACCACTAGAAGACTTGCTCCGAGGCCTCTGAGGATGTAAAATGATCTCTGAGGTCCCTTCCAGCCAATGCCATTCTATGATTCTATGAAAGAACAGCTACTTCTTTTTCTCAGTGTGCACCTCTTTACTCCTTATTTGACAGAAGCCATCTCTGATAACAAGTGAGGTGACAAAAATCTGGGTGGTTCCCCAGATGGGCTTTGCTCCATGAGTAGACGCAGCCTGTGCTTGGGCTGGAAACCTCACCTCTGAGAGATTCCTGTGTTTTCTTCTGTGGCAGGGCATCCGCTTTGACCCAGAGAACCCCCAGACCTTGCGGTTAGAGTTTGCTAAAGCCAACACAAAGATGGCCAAGAGCAAGCTGATGGCCACGCCAAACCCGACCAACATCCACCCTGCCTTGGGAGCACACTTCATTGCACGGGACCCCTGTGAGTATGCTTGGAGGCTCTGCGAGTTCATGGCTGGTCCAACCTGGGAGATGTCCAACCCTGGGAATGCTGTCAGGGTGGAAACGAAACCGTACCTGTGTACGCTCTGGCTGAAATCTGCCTGGTGTGGGAAGGCCAGCGCATCGGGATTGCAGGCATATGGTGAACGTGGGAAGTGCTGGGAGAGCAAAGTTGATTTTTGGTAGCTCAAGTAATACCATAAGTCCTTTAAACCATCTCTAGGCAGTGCTGTACACCCTTGGTGTAGCCTGGTGGTGTGAACAGCTTTATCTTCAGCTGGTGCTCAGGATTTGGAAATTCTGTCCATGAAGCAGGCTGTTGGGGCCAGTTATTGAGATGCTGTCACCTTGTCTCCTCCCCTCTAGACGACCTGACTGGTGCGGCTCTTATTCCAGCATCCCCAGAAGCATGGGCTCCTTACCCACTCTACACCACGGAGTTAACTCCTGCCATCCCCCATGCTGCCTTCACGTATTGCCGCAGCAGCCGCTGCTCTTCACGCTCAGGTGAGTCTCTCCTCTTTTCCCCTGGCCAGGAACTGGGCTCTCCTCTCTTCCCCTGTCCCGGTCCTCGCTCCCATGGGTCTCTGCTTGGCTGGTTTGACCTTGGCCCCTCTGCACCTTGGCTCCCGGGCAAAACCTCCTCCCACCGCCAGCAAATGTCAGTGGGAGAGGTCTTACATGGCCAAGAGTGGTCAGAGCTTGGACGATGATTTCTGACCCAGCAGGTCCAGCCCGCTTGCCTGTGAGAGGCAGACAGATGGGAGGGAAGGTCAGGGCTCCAGTTTCTGTCTGACTTTGGTCACTGCAGCCAGAGAACTAGGTTGTGGGACTACTGGGAGGAAATGCTACCTGCCAGCAAGTGAAATAGCTATGAGATGTCCTCCTTGAAGTCACAGCAAAAACAATGGGCTGAGGGGCTCAGGTGGGACCCCTGTGGGCCAAGCCACTTCAGATGGTTTTGAAGCTAGAGGAGTGTCACAGTGAGGAACCCTGGTGGGGCAGGCTAGAGAAAGGGTCTCTCTGTGTACCGACCTCTGGAGATGCTGGTGGTGGACCAGCCAGCTGCCTGTGTCTGAGAGTGTGCTTGCTGACAGCTGGTTAGTGTAGGGGGATGCCTGTACTGGTCCGAAACTGGAATGTTTTAATAACATAGTGGGACCAACCGCCCTGCCGAGGGTGAAGTCCCTGAAACTGTGGGAAAGCCAAAACAGGAGTAGTGTCCTAAATCTGGGTTCAGGTGATTATTCTGGAGCACCTGTACAGGAGAACCCTGCTCAGTGTTACCAGCCTGCTGTGCTCGGCTTTCTTCAGTCTCTGCTCCCTGTAGTGGTGCTGTGGAGGACCAGGGCAGGGGGACTTAAGGCTTGGGCCTCAGAGCATTGGGGCTTAACCTCTGCACTCTCCCCTGCTTAAACGGAGAGGAAGAGGAGCTGTGTGCCCTCACCTTATCCATCTGGCTGGCAGTCAGCTTAGTTGGCCCTTTGGCATCCTCTTGCTTTTCCTGCAAAGCATCTGGACTGTTACTGCCTAGCTTCAATGCAAGCTTGTTGCCTAAATGCAATATGGAGGCAGTGGCAAGCTCCTGATCTATCTAGACTTGTCTGTCCTCCCCATCACGCCTCCAGGCCTCTGCTGCTTTTGCCCTTCCACTTGGTGAGCTAGTGAAGCTCCTACAGGGTAGGTAAGAAGGATGTGGGGCCCAGCGCAGGACCAGGCAGTGGTCTGTTCTTCCAAGGGCTTCCAGATGCAGACTAGTCCTTCTTGGGGAGGGTTGTTTGCTGGTGTTCCTCAAAAGTTGTTGATGGTGCCCACAACTAATGGGACTGAGGTGACTGAGGGAGGTGAAACTTACTGCAGTTCCTGCAAGGAACATCAGTGACTGTATGGGGACCCTGAGTATAAGGGTTAAACACAAAAATGTTATGGTGTGTGATGGGTGAGAAAAACTCTGCCCTCCTAAAGCAGAGGGTATGAAGGAGGCCTTCAGCCAGATCATTTTCCCTCTGGGGTCTTAGTTCCTGCCCCTCTGATTGGCAAGCTACTAGCTTTCAAAGAGGTCTTCTGGCCTGAGGAATGACCCTGAGGCTCCAGGGAGTTCTCTGTATAGATAGGACTCCTTGCTCAAGGAGGTCCGTAAGTGGTGATATGCCCCAAAGCCTTAGGGAGCCAGTGTAGCCCCTCCAGGCCTGTGGCCAGACCCAGCTCTCTTCTGAAGAGCAGTTAGAGCTGCTCCTCGCTGTGTTGTGCTTGAGCTGGCTGTGGCCTTGCAGGAGAATTTCTGGTGCAGTATATGTTACTGATAAAGCTTTTATGGGGTTAAACATTACTCAGGTTGGCAGCTCAAAGACGCCCGGTCTCTAGGCTGGAGCCCTCTCCCTTGCAGAGCCAAGGCAGGGTGGAGCGAGTTGGTGAGATGACTTTTGCTCGCAAACTGGGCTAAAAGCTGCAGCCTCAGTCTTGGTGTGCTGAGCCCTCTGCCCTCACTGGTAGGGGCTGGTTCACTATGGTGGCACAGGGGTTGTCCACCAGGATAGCTGCAGATCCTCCTCCTAAGGCAGATGTTGGCTACAAGACCTTCACAGGGATGGCTGGAGTTGTAGTGGCTCCACAGGGATCAGTCCTGAAGCAGGCAGTGAGTTGGAGGCCATAGATTAAACCAAGAGCTTGTCAGGAAACATTTAAACCTGAAGTGTTCGTCCTCTTTGCGTTTGAGTCTGGTAGCAAGCAGAAAAAGAGGCAGATGCGCCTGCACGACTTCCCAACAAGCTGCCCAGAGGGCTGGTGAGACTGACAAGGGGACAGGAGATGGCTCGAGGCTGGCCTGGCCTTGGCTCGCGCCCCCTGTTGTGTTGGTAAGCCGCCGGTGGATGAGACACATGGCTGCAGTAGACGTCCCTGTGCAACTCTACAAGCCTCTACGTGACTTTAAGATTGTCCCATCCGCCTTCCCTCCCTCCCACCCTCTCTCAACCCCCCTCCTTTGATGTCCCTAGTGAACTCCAGCCATGATGCCAGCGCAGGCTAGCCCTGAAGTCCCTGGAGATGGGACATCACCCTAGTGATGCCTTATTGCAGCTAGTGGAGTTGCTGTACTACAGCTCCATTCCTAGAAGTGTTAAGCATGATGGCAGCCACGTCTGGAAAGACTGGTAAGGTAACCATCTCTCCTCCAAGGTGCACCATGGGATTTGCAAGCTTCTGCCCATCTCTGTAGCCCGTATCTCCTTGGCAACCCAGTGCATGGGCCTCACGCTACCCACCCACCAGAGCCTGGGGAATGAGATACCAGGCCTTCTTTCTAACCCACATCTCCAACTCAGCAGCACATGACATGGCGCACACAGCATGGCACCATCTTACATCAACTCCTCCCAGCTGAGCCAGGCTCAGCCAGGCCCTGCTGGTGGGAGGGGAGCAGCCCGGTTGAGCTCGGGCAGAGACAACCCTGCCGTTCGGTGCAAAAAGAAACCTGGTTTCTCCCCGACCACGACCCTTCGAGGGCAACCAGAAAAATACACCTTGACCTCACTCCTGGCACACGGTGGGGGAGGTGAGTGACGTGATAGTGATAGCACACGACTAAATTCTAGCGGGCACGTTAGACAACACCACTCGCCGGTCACTTTGTTCCAGAATTGCATACCGGGACAGACCCTGCCCTTAATCATGGGTCTAATCTCACCTCTTTCCTCTCCAGTTACCGAAAATGAAGCGAGTTCCTACCTGGAGCTTGGCTTCTCTCTTGCAACACGAGATCACAGGCAGGACACAGATCTCGTGAGAAGGAAATCGGCAACCTGGGGGAAATGGGAGCAGCTGTAGGAAACCTGGGAGCTTGGGGAAAGGGAAGGGGGACTGGGACCAGTTGGCCTGGAGAATGGTTGCTGTGGTCAGCTTTAACTGAAGGAACCAAGTCCTGGCTCGCTTCTCTTTATGGTCGTGCTGGATAGACTCGTTTCCTCTGTGTGACAGTGATGTTGAGAAGAAGCCACCAAAGATGGGGGCCCAGGTCTGCCTTTGCCCTTGGAAGACTAGGGGGTGCAAAGATACACAGAGTTGGCATCTTGTGAAGATGGGGAGAGCTTGGGCCAAGCATAAAGGCAACAATATGACTTGTCTTATTCTGCTTAGGCCTGGTGAACAGCTTCATCCATCACTTGTGTGATGGAGTTGGGCTGTGTTGTGTCTCTGGTGTGAAACCACTTGTTTTGAAGTGCCTCTAAGCCAGACTCTGAGTGGGCAGTAGGAGACACAAGGGCCTATCAATGCCTCTGGAGCTCTTCTGCAAAGAGATGCTTCCACCTGTGGCAGGACTCTGCTATGGGCAGGACTTGCCCTGGATGCAGGGTTGTTTCATAGGAATATGGGTGAGGCTGGTGGTGGCTATCATGTGGTGTTTATAGAAGATTAGGCTGATGTGTTGGGTACCCAGAGCTCAAGGAGACTGCCTGTGGTAGATGCTTCCAAGGCAGGTAGCAGGTCATAGACTGAAAGTTCATAGATGCCTGTCCTTATTTGGGGGTGGGCTGCCTGAGCTCTCCTCAGAGCATCCGTGTTGCTGCTGCTGGCAGGCTCCTCAAAAGGTGGTGGAAGTGGGGCTCTAAGGATGGGACCTGTCCAGGTGAGTGGTGGGTGAAAGGGAGCAGTCCTGGATCATGGCTATGGGGTGGTAGTGATGTAAGAGCCCAGCAGGACCCTGAGGCTTCTCATGGAGCTAAGGCAGAGCTAATTGATGGAAGGAGAGGGTGCTGCAGGTATGAAGCACTCGAGACCTTCATGGTGATGGTGTTTTCCTAAAATCCAGTGACTTTGTGCTGATGTAGCTGGCTGAGAAGGCTCTCCCCAAGGCAGGTGTTTCCTCCTAGCTAGAGAAAGGCTGTGGAGCAGCCATTCTCTCTAGGTCACACCTGGTGAGTGAACTGGACTGAGATGCCATCCGAAGTGACTTTCTGGCCTGGCCACCACTGGCTCTCCTGGGCTAGCTCAACCCAAAGGAAAGCAACACAAGTTGCTTCTGCTCTGGGCAAAAAGAAGTGCTTGTTTGCTGTGGTCTGCAAGATGAGCACATCTCCACGAGCTGTAGCATAAGCAGCCTGAAGGCCCAGAGGAGTGCAAAACATTGGGCAGATGCCTCTTAAAACACTCCTAATCAACAGGATGGATCAAGGTCTGTCGTCTTCTGCTCCTTAATGTGGTGTGAGATGATGTGCTGATTCTCCAGCTGTCCCTTGCCATAGCTGTCTGGGGAGATGTCTGCCCTTCATTCTACTGGAGAAGAGGTGGTGGGCTGAGCTGCTTGGGTCTTACGTAGCATGCAAGTGTCCAGCTACTCATCTCCTCGACCCATCCTCCTGAAAGACCCTGGAAGCGGGTGGCTTGAGCGACGTGTCCGCTGCTGAGGCTGTGAGTGTGTGTTCAGAGAGAACTCTAATGGATGACACTCGTGCCTCGTGGGTGCACCTTTGCAGGTTGTCCTTGTCTGCCCTGGGTCATGTTTGCATCAGCTGTGCTTCCAGCTGGAGCAGAGCAGCTCTTGCCGGCCACCAATGTAGCCTGCCCAAGGCTTGCACCCAGTGACCTGTGGCCTGGGGCAAGTGGTGACCACAAAATGCTCATGACTTGCTGGGGTGAGGCTGTCCCAGCAGCTGGTAACAATGTGCAGCTCTCAGGATGTGTTGGTTGGGGTCCTACCACTGCAACCGAGCGTTTTGTCCTGGGGAGCCTTTCTGGTACCTGGGGAGGTGGTTGGGTCTGTTCCCATTGTAGGGATAGCTCTGAGGTCCACAAGATGCTGGGGCAGGCCTGGAAGCAACTGAGGAGGAAAGGCAGCCCATCCAAGCTAGAGGTGGCTAGAGGATCTGTGTATTCTTCAGTCTTCTCTTTTTTTCATGCTGAAGGAATCACTCTCTGTAAGGATGATGGACAAGATGGGAAGTTAAAATTCTGAGGATAATTAGGAGAGATGATGGAGGGCTTGGCAAGGAGGATTGAAGTGCTAGTGGTGTGTTTATCCACCCCAGTTGTCATTTCTTTATGTTTTTTTGGTGGGGCTGGGCTTGTGGTGCAGCACTTCTGGGTATTTCACCTCTGGAAGGTGGCAGGCAGAGGCATAGACTTCTCCAGCTGTTTTCTGGGACAGATGTTGAAGGCAGCAGCACAAGGCTGGCTGGGGTTGACCAGCGGTGTCTGTCTCGTCCCTATGGGCAGGCGAGCAGGAGATGTTTGCAGCAGTTTGGCCAGACTTCTTTCCAACTGTGAGCTAATGCAGCTCCAGAAACAGCTGTGTCTCTTCCAGGGAAAGCCTCCCTTGCTCTGTTTTCCTCACCCCAGCATTGGACATTTCCATTTGCTCTTTCTCAGCTTCCTCCTTGATGGACATTGTATTTTGAGAGAGAATGGATCTTCCAAAAGCCCTCAGAGAAATTTGCCTTCTTACAGGGAAGTGCTCTGGCCTGACCTGCCAGGTTGCAACTTCCTTGGGACAACTCTGCGTGGTGTCATGTGTTGGTCTCCTCTTCCAGATGTCTCCTGGAGCCCCTCCCCATTTGCAGAGCCTCTCCCTGGCAAAATCAAGGTGCCTGAGACACTTTGAGGGATGCAAAGAGAAAACTGCCTTGGGAGGTGCCACTGTCCTGAAGAGTATGTCCTCTTGGCTAGCTGCTGCCTGCAGTTTGATTCTTCCAGTGCTTTCTGCTGGCTTCAGAAACATCCCTCCTAGCGAGGATTGTGTTCCTGCCTCATCCTATCAAGCCCTTAATCTTTCTGTGGGCTGAGAGACTTGGCAGATCATTCCCTCACCATGCCAGCCTGTTGGAGCCTTGGCTTGTGCCCAGAATCCTCGCACCTGCAGGAGCTCCTGGTTTGAGCCCCCTCTGGCTGCAAGGCTCTTCTACTGCCAGGTGGGAGGGCTGCAAGAGTCCAGGCTGGCCAGGTTTGTGCAGAGACCTAGGGGAGGAAGGCAAGGAGAGGTGGTCCATCAGGTGTGGAGGTTTAGTAAGGCCACAGCTATGAACAGTACATGTTTTTTTAGGGGAAAGAAAGATTTCTGTTGAAACTTGGAGATGCTGGAGGCTCTGGTCAGGCTTGGGATGTGTGCAGAAGCTGGCTTGGAGCCTGCTGAGGAGAGGATGGAGAGCCACCAGGCTTGAGGAGTGAGGTGGAGGATGGCCACTTGCATGTGGTCAGCTGCTGTGCCTCCTTAGGTACGGCACAGAGCCCAGCGTGGGATGGCAGCAGCTCTTGGGATTAAGCACTTGCAGCCTTCTGAGTGTGTGGGGGAGTTTCCTGTGGCTGCTGGGCAGAAGAAAAGTACTTCCAGCTGTGGAGGGGAGGGGTGATGGAGTGGGAGATGCTGGCCAAGAAGGAGGACTTCTGGCTGCTAAGGAGATGGGGCTCTACTGAGCAAGTATCTCCTGGGGACAGGGCAGGGAGGGAGCATGTAACTCCTGTCCTTACCCTGGCATCTGCTGTGGTGGCCCCATAAGGTGTTGGTGATGCTGCTGCCCGTGTGAGGCTGTCACCCTGCCCAGCTTGTGTTGGTGCAAGGAGATAGCCATGGCCCAGAGCAGCAGGCTGGGGAGCGATGGTGCAGCTGAGCTGGGTCCCTCTCGCAGACTGATGGAGAAGTTGTCCTGTGTGTGGCACCAACACAGCACTTCAGTCACGGCATTTAGGTGGGGAAGGAGGGTCTTGGTGTAACATCTGTGTCCTGAATTCCCTCTGCTCAAGGCTGGACTGACTGGGATGCACTTGGCTGCTGTGTCACGAAGAAAGTTTCTTTACTCCGTGCTGGGAGATGGATTGGTGGCACACGCTTGCCTCATGAAGGTGTTTGGCAACGAGCCCAACCAGCCCAGTGGTTCCTGAACAGGAGCTTGGGATCCAGCAGATCTAACCTCAGGAGAAGCTTCTGCTGGGATAGGTCTTGCAGAGCTTTTTCCTGTAGGAACCACTATAAGAAGAGGGACTTTGAGGTCCTTGAGCTCATGCTTGGAGGGCTGTTCAGCTCCTCAACCCTTGTGGGCTCAGCCACGTAGAGGTTAGATAAGCTCTAAAACCTCTGCCAAGCTAGATCCTTCAGATGTGGCTGCAGCTCTTCCTTTGCCCAACTGACCTGAGACCTTGCTCCCAGCCTATCCTTGACTGAGGGTCCCTCTTAGGGCCAACAGGGGTTGGAACTGGTTGGGGAGATACTGTTTTGTTTGTGGTTTGGGTTTGTTTTTTTTTTTTTTATGGGGATGGTGGGTGGTTGTTGTTGGTATGTTTTGTTTTGTTTTTTCCTTCTGGCCTGCTGGATGTGCTTGGCATCCAACTAGACTTGTTTGGGCAAGAGGACAGATATGGCAAGGGGAACAACAGTTCGTGCTGGAGTTTAGAGGTGTGGGTCTTTTTCCTCTTTTTTTTTTTTTTTTTTTTTTTTCCCCCCTCTTCTACCCATCTGAGAGCAAAGTCTGTCATTCTGTTGGTACCTGGAGCCTTGAAGGTACCTGCTGCTCTCAATGCCCGTCTATGCTCTCTTCCCTCCAACTGGGGAGGGAGAAGAGTGAGGAGGGCCACTCTGTCCCAGCTCCCTCCACAAATGGTGGCAGGGCTGAGCTCCTTGAGCTGCTCCCGCTGCTGGATCCCCACTCTGCCCAGCAGTGTGGACTTGTCTCCTGCTGCTCTCAGGTGTGAAGCTCCCACCTCTGCCCTTCCCTTCCCAGGTCTTGTAGACATCTTTGGATGTCTGATGCTATCCTACTGCATGTTCCCAGCTTGCTGCATCTACTGACAGGCTGGAAAGTGTCTGAGCAGTAGATGTGGCAGCAATGCCCTGCCAGGGAAACTTCCAAGTCTTGCTGGTTTTGCAGCTCTATCACGATGAGGTCTGCCAGGAGCCTCATCCGAACAGTTAGCTTATGGCTCAGAAAACACTTTTTCTGTGGTGGATGAGCCAGTTCTTACCACATTTGTGTCATCTAGAGGTTGTCTGATTTACATGTGTGGTCTTGAGGTGCCTCCTTCTGCTGGCTGAGGGATCAGCAGCTACTGCCTTGGAGTGCTGTGTGCCCAAAGTGAGCCTCCTCTGTCCTCGTGATGCCCGGAGCCTGAACAGGAGAGAAGGATGTCAACTTGGGATGTCTGGGGGAGCAGAAGTGTGCTGGGAGGGAACAGCCCCTCCTTCTGCAGTGGTAAACTTCATAGGTAGCTTGGTGGTGAGGAGCTTTCTTAGCTTGAATGGTGGTGTTCTCCATGTCATAGCGAGCTGGGGACAGGCACGGGAGTGAATTTGGGCGCTCTCTTCTGGTGATGCCAATAGGCAGAAAGTACTTGAGATGTTGAGGCAAGCCCAGAAGATGGGGTGGGATCCTGCCGTGCTCCTTAAGAGAGGACCTGGCTGGGTCCCAGCGCCTGGTGAGCCTGAGCTTGTCCTTGCATGAGCCATCAGTGCCAGCACGGTGCATCCCAGGTTGGGATGCCACTTGATACTTGGGGCTTGCCCTGGAGACATCTTTACTTGGTGGACCTTGTACGCAGCCTGAAGGAGCTGAAGGTTTGGGCTCTGGTTGAGATAATCCCAGATCACAGACCTCTGGGCCTGACTTTCTTTTCCAGATGCGCTGGTACCCTCCCTCCGAAGCTACCCAGCAAGGATGGAAGTCTCGTCAGTTTTGTTAGTTGGTTAGTAAGTAATTAATTACTCTCGGAGTCTTGTGGGGAGGAGGGATGGGAGCTTGGGCTCAGCCCCCCACATCCACCTAAGGATGGTGATGGGGTGGGAGCAGAGACCCCTCAGGGTGGGGGAAAGGGCCAGAGGAAGCTCCAGCCGGTGCCGCTCACCTACCGCTCCTCTCCCTGCAGTGTCTCTCCTCGGCTTGTGTTCCTCCTCCCTTGCCTCTCTGTGGAGGGATGCACCAGGGACGATCACTCAGACTCTTCTCAGTTTGGTTTGCTGCCAGCAGTGGATGAGGTGCCCCGGCTTCTGGGAGCTTCCCCTTACCCCCTCCCCTTCTCCCTGGACTGTGATGCCACTGCGGTCCATGTGCCGCATCCCTCCATCATCCATCTATCATCCCTCCTCCATCCTTCCATCCATCCCCAGGATGTCCCCCCTGACTGAGCTTCTCCAAAACCCAGACGGGTGTGTTTTTTGCGGGGGATGATGGCTCGGTCCTGGGCTTCCCCAGGTCTCGCCCTGCCCCGGCGGCTCGGCTGAAGGGAAACGACGAAAGGCCAAAATAATGGGTTTTGCATGTTTTCTGGCATGAATTAAAACACTTAACTTGTGTCTGTGTGACTGTAAGTTTGTTTGTTTCTAGCGTTTGTGTAACCGTTAGCAACAGGTCTTGGCCCAACGGGTTGATCCGTCGAGGTTTTCATCTTGCTTCAGTGAAGACTTGGCTTTGAGAAATACTAACTGTCCTTGTCTCACCCTTCTCCCACCTCTGCCCTTCCCTTCCCAGTATGACGTGAAAATTTTGAAAAATGTTTCTTTTTTTTTTTCTTTTTTTCTTTTTTTTCCCTCCAACTATGATGCACTGGGTTTCTGTTCTCATCCATTCTCTGGTTTTAAAGTCAGGGTTATTTTTATTATTATTATTTTTTCTTCAGATTTCTATATATAGAACGTCTGTAAACTATCTAACCTTTTTTTTTTTTTCTTCCCCCCCCCCTCCACATTTTTCTGTTTGGAGGGAATCCAGTCCTGCCAAATAATCAGCCATCCTTATGGGAATACCGAACAAAAATAAAAAGTACGAGTATTTTTGTACCATGTGTAATAAGGAAATATTTATGCATCATAAAGAATTTCTTGTGTGTTTGTGTGCAATTAATTATTATTATTATTATTAAAGAGAAATTGTAATCCTGTAAGATAAGTTTAATGTTTAGTTAAAGAAGGGTTGTCTTCTGTAACAATGATTCAGTCAGGCATAGTAAACAAGAAATTGTGCAATTTTTGTTTTAGCATCTTATTGCTTGGTATTGAAGTGCTTCAAGTATTATATGACCATGGCTGTCTCGCTTGTACTAAAAGATTTTGAGAATAAGTTGCTATATAATTGCTGATCCTATGAGAATGTGAAACTGGATAATATATGAAATGCAACAAAAAAAAAAAAAAATACACCCAGAGGCTGCTGTGACTATTTTTCCGTGGTTTGTTGTGTTTTGTCTTGGGGCTGGGTTCAGGTTTTGGGGTTACGCCCCTGGTCCCCACCCCTGCCTGGAAGGATGTGCCCTCCTTGGGGATGCTGCTGAGGACCAGGCATGGGGTTGGGGCATCAAGTCCTTGCGCCAAAGGGCCCTGACCCTCTTCTGGAGGCCTCTGAGAGGGCAACTGTGAGCTTTTTCTTGAGTGTTTTTGTTTCTGCTCCCTCCCCTTTGGAGCCGGCAGAGGCTGAGGGCCTCTCATCTGTGCCAGCACCCTTCTTCCCTGCCAAGGGTGCAGCGAGGAGAGATGTCCATAGAAGGCAACTGTCCTCCGTGGCTGCAGCACTGGGCTGTGCCTGCGCAGCTCCTCCTCTGGTGCAGGGTCCCCTGGCCCCTGGAGACATCTTTTCGTGGCCTTATCTGTACCTGAGAAAACACCCATGGGAACTGCAGAGTGGGGACAGGGGGTGGGTGGCAACTTCAGCCCCAGGGGGGTGATCTGGACAGGGGTGGGGTGGTTGCCTTGCTGTGCCCAAGGTGGCTCAGCTCAGCAGGTCCCTGCCAGGGGGAGCTTCTAACACCCTCCCACGCAGCTCCTCACCCCGGGGCTGTTGGGTTTTCCTCTCTCTCCAGGGCTTTGAGGGCAGTGAGGAGCAGGGGGGGAGGAAAAAAAGAAAAAGACAGGTCTAAAAATAGCCCAGTTGGTCACCGTGCCTGGGAACGGGCTCGGCTGAGCTCTGCTGCTCCGGGAAGTGACGGGCTGTGGGCTGCCTGAGCCAGGGCAGCCCTGCCAGCACCTTCCCCACGGGATCACCCTGCCTGGGGTCCAGGCAAAGCTTGCTCCTGCCCACATCCCAGTTCCTGCCCTCATCCCATCCTTCCTGAATCCCAGTTCCTGCAGCATCCCAGCCCAGGCCAGCTCTGCCCTGCCGGCTCTGTGCTCATCTTGCAGCTCTGCTCACCAAAGCGGAAACACCCCGGAGAGCAGGCGAGGCCTGGTGACGGGAGTGTGCAAGGCTTTAAATTATAGAGAAGATTTTTATTTTTTTTTAACAAAAAAAAAGCCTTTAGCGCATGCATTAACATGGCCAGGCAATGAATAATTTACGCCTGGCTCTATTAAGCTTTTACAGTAGCTCGCCTCGAAGCTAAAGTAGGTCACGTCTGCTCTGAGGGTCCCCAGGTGAACCCCCTCCTTGGCCAGAGCACGTCCTACTCCATGGGACACTCTCTCCGGGAAGAGATTCGGGGACAAGGGGCGTGTCCCTGATCTGTGGGTAGGATGGAGTTGCGGGGAGTGAGGGCGGCTGGGGATGGGGCACAGCCTAATAGCATCGCCAGGGAAAAAGGGCCTCAGGTTGATGGCACCCAGGTTTTTTGGTCCTTGGTGCTGCATGGACCTGTTGGCCGTAGGAGAAAGTGACCAGAGAGGAGATGGCCTTGGGTCTGGAAGAAGAAGGAACAGGGGGAAAAGGCTAGTTTGGGCAGATTTTTGTATGTTTTACTGGAGACTCCCCCTCTCTTCCCCTTGTTTTGAAGGTGCAATGAAAAACAAATCAATCTGCGTGCTTTTGGACCATTTTCTTGTGGAAAAAAAAAAGAAGGCAGGTCATTCAAGACCTGCAGTCATCCAGGGACCTGCTGGTCACAAGAGAGCATGGAGCCCCTGCCTCTGAGGCCGGGAGTGCCTCGCAGCACTGACGCTCTCCTTGTGGTCCTGCCTACCTTTGCTAATGATGAAGGGTACCCAGATGCAGCTCAGATCGTGCAGGTTCAGCCCATTTCTACCACAAATGTGAGACAAAAAGTGATTCCTCAAAGGATCAAAATGGCTCCTGCAAACCCCAGCAACTTCTGTCTGCTGGTCTGCACCGGCAGTGCAGCGAGGAGAGCCTCTGTCACCATCTCCTTTCCCCAAGGCATCCCTTCTCGCTCAGGCTGAAGCCTTTCCTGGTTGAAAGACCACTTTGAAGACTGCTGATGTCCTCCAGTTGTGAGTGTGAGGAGGTCTCAGAGAGCCCCACATCCATGTCACATCAGGCTTTAGCAGCTACAGCTCCCAGCTGACTTCCAAGAAGCTGCAGCTCAACGTAAGGTTGCCAGGATTTCCCTGGCAAACATGTGTGATCCAGCCCCATAGGGACAAGGAGAATGTCGGCTGTGGTCAAGGAGCATCACATGTGCCAGCTCTGTGAAGCCCCAGCCCAGCACATGGCCAGATAAAAATGAACGACCAAGCTGCTTGATGATGGGTGAACTTGGTAGTGCACCTCTGGAAGAGGCAGGCTTGGCCAGCGAGTGTACAAGTAGGCTTACTGAGGCCAGAAACGTCACCAAGGGGGCAGAAAGAGCTAGGAAACGATGGAGACCAGGCAAAGATAAGAAAAACATGCTGTTCGCTCCTTATCTTGATTTGCGTTTTTGCACAGTGCGCCCTCCCATGAGTTCTGCTTACCTGCCGGGCTTGGATATCACCTGCCAGCTCCAAAACTCCCTTTGCTATCCCCTCTGCCACCCCCCACACTTGTGAAATAACTTCCCAGCCCAGCAAGAAGTCTGCAGAGACTTGGAAACAGCATCCCGAAACCCCACACAGCGAGCACAAAAAGACAAGGGTGAGACATCTCAGACCTCACAGGGTAGGGGAGTC